CTGAGTTGCCGCCATGTGATTGGCTGCTTAGAAATTAAGTGTTAACGAGCAGTTGGACAGGTGTACCTAATAAAGTGGCCGGTGAGTGTATTTGCAACGCAATGCAAATTCTGATGGTAAGTAAAAGTTTCAACATGATTTTCTGTTGCTTTTTTTTTTTTCTGGAGCCGTAAACCAGCATTCAACCAATATAAATAATGTACGCCGTCAGACTTTTTGTGTCAATCATTGTGTCAATCATTGTCACCCTTAAAGATTCTTTTTACTATACCTTTTTAAACCCAAATCTGTCTATAAAACAAATAAGTTTGGATTTTTCTAAATGTGTAGCCTACCTGTCAGAGAACTTCTTACATGTCCAATCAGATTAAACAAATCTGTTTGGGAACCTAAGTTTGTATTTTAATAATGCAATCCTTCACAAAAGCATCATCTTTGACACAAAACAAGTTAATGAGATTCATTAGTAGAGCTAATGACAGAACAATCACACAACGGTAAGGATATATTTAGGGAGCCCGATTAATGTAATATCTATGACTATGGGCTTTGGTAGGAAGCTGAAGTGAACCATAGGAAGAACATCCAGTATCAATACAGCAAGTATGCAGTGAAGTATTTAATTCTACTTTATATAAAAGCCCAACCAGAGACATGATGTGTCCCTGGTTGGGCTTTTATATAGAATTTTATAGTGAAAAATACAAGTATAAAAAGAAATAAAACTAGCTATAACGCTTCAAAACTTGTTTAAAAATACAGAATTAGTGTTCTTTAGACTGTAGATTTTAGGTAAATAAAATAGAATAAAACATTCAAATAGCAGAGACACAAGTGGCAGCATTGTTTGTTAAAGGAAGACATTCAGACAACTAATGCTGACCTGACTGATGTGTTATGAGCCATTTTTTTTAGATAGAAAATAGTGAATGTTGTGAGTTCCCTGATGTTCTGAGGTTCCACTCCTGAGATGCTGTGACTGCAAAGGCAAAGGTTCTTTGAGTAAAAGCACTTTGACCCAGAGGAACAACACATCCTCCTCTGGTCGACCCTCCTGTTCCTGATCTTTACAAACTGAATGAGTGGAGGAGATGAAAGACCATGGATCATTTTGTTAAACAAAGGTTTGAGTACTTGATGACATTTTCACAGCTTAAAAGCTTATGTTTTAGTAAAATCGCTGGTAAAGTATAGAAAACCCTTGTGCTATCATGTTCACACATCTGAAAACAGTTTAGCTCGTTACAGAAGCTACAAAACTGACCTTCCTTTGAGCAGATTGAGTTTCTGGAGCGTCACATTTTTGGGGTCAATTTAACGCTCAAAATGGCCACAAAAAGAGAACTTTCATCTGAAACTCGACAGTCTATTCTTGTTCT